AGAATATTGTTCATTGTTTGGATATTGTTTTCAAATATCTTGTTTTTGTGTGCAAAGTACATTATTGGTGTGTATAAAGAACATTTTCGACTACCTAGAGTTTTTAAGATTATTCAAGCAGAAAATTAAAAAAATTGTTCATTGTTTGGATTATGTTTTCAAATAGCATGTTTTTGTGTACAAAGTACATTATTGGTGTGCATAAAGTACATCTTTGACTACCAAGGATTTTTACCCTCGTTTCTAAGGATTATTCAAGTAAAAATGAAATTATATTATACATTGTTTGGATTATATATTAAAATATCATGCATAAAGTGATTGAGTGTACAAAACATTTGGGTTTCCCTGTGTCTGTGTATAAAATATTAAAATACATTATTTTTGTTCATAAAGTACATTAATTTTGTTTATAAAGTACATTATCGGTGTGCATAAGCTTTTATATTTCATCATATTGAAATTGTTTGAATGTACATTGTTTATGTGAGTATAGTACATTATTTTTATGCATAAGATACATTATTTCTGTGAATAGGGTTCACTATTTGATTATATCCAAACTGATTGAAAATTATTTGTACCTTCTGCTCTGGATGTTGTGTTTCTGATGGAAGTACATTATTTATGTGCATTAAGTACATTATTTTAATACATAAAGTACATTTTTAATGCATCATTTATGTGTACTTTCTGTTGTGCATTCAGTTCATTATTTTATTGAATATCTTATTTCTTTGTAGAGCATGATTGGATTTTTTCTACACACCCCACTCCATCAACTTAGAAATCCGATATTCACTAAAAATAATATCAATGTTTTATGTTAATAATATGTTAGTTGTAGAAGAAATGTGAAATGTCTGCCCAAGATCTAGATCTTACCCTCAAAGAAGTCAGAAAAAACATATAGAAAAAATTGAAAAGAACTACAAGGACTGAGCAAAACTAAGATGAAGGCATATCAGCCTATGATAGAAAACAAAGAACAAAGCAAAATCAAGAAGAGATACACCAATATGATGAGGGACTGCTCCTAATACTGTAGAAGAGGAAATCAATAAGAAGGAAGTTGAGCATCAGACTACAAGGGGAGTTGTTATGCTCAAAACACGGATGTCACCAATGGAGTTGAACAGATTACTAGCAAATTTGACTGATGAACAAAAACAAGATGTTCAAGACATTGGCTTTGGATCACTGGTAGTGTTTCAACTGTCCAGCTAGGACAATAAACTGTCCACCTAATCTGTATCGTCCGATCATTTGCATCCAAAGGTGCGGGAAAATTCCCAATGCACCATGTATCACTAAAAAATGCACCATGTATCACTAAAAAATACATCACACACTTGCACGTAATACACATCGCTAACAAGTCTATTGAACCCGTCGGCAAGTTTGACACCCCCGTTGAGTGGTGTAATACAAATCAATGCACCATGAATCACTCAAAAATGCACCACAGAGCACTTAAAAATGCACCATAGAGCACTCAAAAATGCACCACAGAGCACTTAAAAATGCACCACTATTGAACCCGTCGACGGGTTTGACATCGCTGTTGAGTGGTGCAAAACTAAGTGTACTACAAATCAATGCACCACGTAACACTAAAAAATGCACCACAAAGCACTCAAATATGCACCACGGAGCACTTAAATATGCATCACACACTAGCACATAATGCACCCCGATAACGGGTCTATTGAACCCGTCGACGGGTTTAACACCACCGTTGAGTGGTGTAATACAAATCAATGCACCATGAATCACTCAAAATTGCACCACCGAGCACTTAAAAATACACCACACACTAGCACATAATGCACCGTTGAAATATACATGGTGGAAGAAATTGCGATATTGCCACTGCGTAATTTCTCTTCTTCATTGATTTCCAGTCGTTTAATTTCAGCTCATCTTACGGTTCTAATAAATCCACATGACCACACGGCAGACTAAGGCCGCACGCAATCAAGGCTATATATATATATATATATATATATATATATATATATATATATATATAATCTTAAAATTAAATAACCTAAGCTAAGCCTTAGCCCTAATTCCTAAAGCCGTCTACTCTTTCTCTTTGTGACTCATGAACGCTATCGTTCTCGGCTTCTCGCCTCTAGCGACCGCGCTATGTTCCTCCACGCTTGACGCCACTAGCCCACCATACCTCTACTGCTCTACTCCTCCACGCGACCACACCTTCGTCTCCTCTGCTCTAGGTCGCCGCCTCCAGCGAGAGTGCGAGACCAGCTCCACGCCTCGACGACCACGTGCTTCAGCATGTCGCCGCACGCTAGCCGATCGTAGCCTTCGCATGCTCAAACCTCTAGGTTTCATACTTTCATTTAAATATTTCACAGATAAATTCTGGCAAAGTTCATGTTCTTACTTTTAATTTGAAATTTGATATCTGGACTAGATTAAACTAGAGTATGTCTGGTAGTCTTTGTTATTTCATACTTTCATTTAAATATTTCAGATTTTCATTTAAATATTTCATAGATAAATCTTATATGGACTATAACATTGAAAAATTCTACTTGGAGTTAATACCTCCAATGGTTCTCTGAGTATTAGCAATTTACCAGCTGTGGTTATCCGACTTTTAAATGACGTTCAATGGTCCTCCAAGTTTTAAAAAGTAATCACACGTAGTCCTAATTCTTAAAAAACCCGAGTTTAAAATGACCACTAGACGTCCTAAAAGGACCACGAGTGGTTATATTTTAAAACATGGAGGATCATTGGAGGTCATTTAAAAGTTGGATGATCATAGTTGGTAAATCGCTAATACTCGGAGGACCATTGGAGGTATTAACTCATTCCACTTGATATAAATGTATTATGTATATTTTGTTATAGTTTAAACTTAATATACTTTTTTATTTTAATGTCAGGGAGATGGATACATTATCATTTCAACATCAAAGTTCTCCAAATACTAATATTAATGTTGGTTGTGAAGTTGATATGCCGAATGTAGGGGACATACCAATTTCACCTCAACCTTCAGAACAAACTGAAAATTTAGAAACATGAGAAAGAGGTGCGAAAAGACACCTTACTTCAGATGTGTGGAATCATTTTAATATAATTCAAAACCAGTGGTAAAGAAAGGGCTAAATGCAAGTATTGTAATAAGGATTATGTGATGGGGTCACACAAATATGGAACATCAACTCTATCTCATCATCTATCCTCTTGCAAACTAAAGCCTAAATATAATGATGTGGTTCTATGTTAATTGATCATGAAGGAAAGTTGTGTGCCAAAAAAAATTGATCATAATGTGGTCCGTGAGATGATAAGAATGATGAGTATCATTAAATATGATTTGCCGTATTCTTTTGTTGAATATAAGAGAATTAGAGAGTTGCACAAGTATTTGAATTCTGAGTACAAATTCATAAGTAGAAATACAGCAGCAACAGGTGTTTATAAGTTTTCTGAGAAGGTAAAAGAGACACTGAAGAATATCTTGAAAAAAATTTCAAGTAGAATTTGCTTGACTTATGATCTTTGGACAACATGCACATTTGAGGAATATATTTGTTTGACTGCTAGTTAAATAATAAGATATTATCCTGTTGTGTTATGCATACTCCACATACTAGTATTCATTTAGCTAAGAAGCTACTAGATTGTTTGAAAGAGTGGGGAATAGAGAACAAAATCGTTTTCTCTTACTTTGGATAATGCTTCTACTAACGATAGTATGCAAAATATCTTGAAAGGACAAGTTTGTTTGCAAAATGATTTGTTGTGTAATTGAAAATTTTTTTCATGTGAAATGTTCTGCACATATATTGAATCTTATTGTGCAAGATGGGTTGAAAGTGATTGGTGATGCTTGAATAAAATTTGACAGAGTGTGAAATATGTTAAAGGGTTAGATGGGAGGATGAAAGTGTTTGAAGAATGTGTTGAGACAGTTGGTCTTCAACTTAAAGTTGGTTTATCAATGGATATGCTCACTAGATGGAACTCTACTTATAAGATGCTTGATAGTGCTATTAAGTATTGACATGCTTTTAGTAGTCTTCACTTGCTTGACACAAATTATTAGCATTGTCCTTCAAATGAGGAGTGGGCTAGGGGTGAAAAAAAATGTGTGAATTTTTTATGCCTTTTAATGAAATTACAAAATTGATTTCGGGTTCAACTTATCCTACTTCCAACTTATACTTAATGAAAGTTTGGAAAATTGAGCTTTTGTTGAAAAGAAATTTGAATAATGAAGATGTGGTTATTAGAAACGTGGCTAGTAACATGAGAGTGAAGTTTGAAAAATATTGTGAACAATATAGTGTTATTCTTGCTATGGGAGCGGTGTTTGATCCAAAAATGAAATTTAAACTTTTGGAATTTTTCTTCCAAAAAATTGGATCCAAATTCTGTAAACCAAAAGTTGGATTATGTGAAAAACAAGTTGTAATGCACTTTGAAGCATATAAAAGAAAGCCTATGACCGTGACCCATAGTTCTTCAACTTTGACCTCTTCTCCATGTGAAAATGCAAGAATAGAATAAACAAGTGATGAAATGATTGATGTAATTTATTATTTTTGTGTCATTTTTGTTCTTTTTTTATTATTATTATATATTGTCATAACACCCTTTTTAAATTTTTATACTTACAAATGATATAAGAGTTTGTTGAATATTGTAACCAAGATGATGTGGATAATGGAATTTTTCTTCCAAAAAATTGGATCCAAATTCTGTAAACCAAAAGTTGGATTATGTGAAAAACAAGTTGTAATGCACTTTGAAGCATATAAAAGAAAGCCTATGACCGTGACCCATAGTTCTTCAACTTTGACCTCTTCTCCATGTGAAAATGCAAGAATAGAATAAACAAGTGATGAAATGATTGATGTAATTTATTATTTTTGTGTCATTTTTGTTCTTTTTTTATTATTATTATATATTGTCATAACACCCTTTTTAAATTTTTATACTTACAAATGATATAAGAGTTTGTTGAATATTGTAACCAAGATGATGTGGATAATGGAAAATTAGCATTGCATGTGTATTTGGATGAACCATAGAAGGACATGAAGATGTATGCTGATATGGATATCTTGAACTTTTGGAAGTAAAATAGGCACCGTTTTGGTGAGTTATCTTACATGACATGTGACATATTAGGTATTCCTATCACTATTGTGGCATCGGAATAAGCTTTTAGTATAGGAGGTCGTGTATTGAACATATACCGGAAGTTCTATGCTCCCTTCAAACATTCAAGCATTGCTTTGTGCTCGCAATTGGATACATGGTTTTGAACTCCAAGGTCATGGTAAATCATATAATATTTCACTTCAAAATTTTTTATTTTCTTATGATTTAATTATTATGGTTATTATGTTTTGATTATTTTAATTGATGTATCATGTATAGATGATGGTGATGTTTGTGGTGTTGAAGAAATTGTCCCAGTTCCATCTGGGTTTTCAACCTCGACTGTTATTCGACTGTTATTACTTAGACACTAATTTGAAGACTTGAAGAGTCGATTAATTTGAAGATATATAATTATATTATTGTTACTCATTAACTTGCTATGTTTAGATTTCCAGATACTATATTACAACCTGTTTGGTTCGCTGGAAAATATTTGAAGAGAAATGGAATTGAAATTCCATAGAAAATAAATTCCAAGAAATGGATTCCATTGTTTAGTTAGTGGGAAAAAATTACTGGGAATATGAATTTCATTGTTTGGTTGGCTTGGAAATTGTAAGGAATAATGAGTATAAAGACAATTATATCCCTACACAATAATAATAATAGTAATAGTAATAATAATAGTAATAATAATAGTAATAGTAATAATAGTAATAATAATAATAATATTAATAATAGTAATAATAATAGTAATAATAATAGTAATAATAATAGGAGTAATAGTAATAATAGTAATAGTAATAGTAATAATAATAATAACATTAATAATAATAATAATAATAATAATAATAATAATAATAATAATAATAATAATAATAATAATAATAGTAATAATAGTAATAATAGTAATAATAATAATAATAATAATAATAATAATAATAATAATAATAATAATAACAATAATAATAATAATAATAATGGGAAATCAACATTTTGGTTCCTCAATTGTTTCCCAATTGTCAATGTAGTCCCTAGTTTTCAATTTCAACCAATTTGATACTCGAATTGTTTAAAATTTTGGCAATTAAACACTTTCAGGGACCAAATTGACGAAATTTTAAAAATATGGAAATTACCATTTTGGTCCTGAAATGGTTTAATTGATGAAATTTTAAACAATTTGATGATCAAATAGGTTGAAATTGAAAACTAGGGACTACATTGACAGTTGAGAAATAATTGAGTGACCAAAATGGTGATTAATTCTAATAATAATGGTAATTAAGAAAAGTTGGTGATAGCATAATTGTCCTACTTGTTTTTCATGAAAAACATTTTCCATAGAAAACAAAATACTAAGTGGGGTCCATGGAAAATGTTTTCCTCATTCTTAAGGAAATTGTGTTCTGTTGGTCCCAAAAGAGGTAGGGTAAAAGTCTAGAGGGGGGGGGGGGGGGGGGGAGTGAATAGACTTTTAAACCGTTTTTGCAAATACAACAATTGTTAAGGCAAAAGAGAAACCAAAACTCTTAACACGTTGTTAGAGTCTTGTGCACAGCGGAATAAATAAAGTAAGTGTGTGTAGAGATTGTGTCAAGTATATCTCGTGAGAAGCAAGCAAGCAGTAAGTAAATAAAGCAGTAAAGAACACAAGGCAATTATAGTGGTTCAAAGGTAGTGTAATCCTCCTACTCCACTTGCTCTTATCCTCCAAGAGCAATTCACTATATCCACAACTTCTTGGTTCCTAGATACAATGAATTTCGTGATCTAGTGCTTTGATCACCAAGCCCACACTAATCATGTCCAGTGCCTACAACACTGTTACTTCGGATTTCACAACTCCGTGCTATTTTCCCCCCGACTTCTACGCTCCGGTAGAACTTACACTTGTTTTATTTCAAAACAAGTTTTCCTTACTTCCAACTTTGAGACTCTGTTGATGATCTTCAATGTACGCCAAGTCTCTTATAGTTGATGAAGATTCTAACACTCTTGGATATTTCTTTGTAAGCTCTGTATCACTCTGAGTGTTTTTCTCACTTGGATATATCAAGTATAGCTCTTGATTTGGAAAGCTTTTTTGATTTTCGTATGTCTGTTTAGCTCTGTTTGTTGCTTGTCTAGGTTTCTTGGTTTCTTTCTTTTGCTTCAATCTTCATCCTTATATAGCTGGTTTTGAGATTTTGCCCGTTGAAAAAAAGACAATCTCAAATTTGAATTTCTTCTAGCCTTTGTAGCCTTTTCAGAGGATAAGATAGTGTTGCAGATATGTCAGAGATTCTCTGCAAGTTGAGCTTCAAATCTACGCAAAAATGGCTTTCCAAAATTTCTTCTGGTGTAGATCCCATCTTTGTTTGTGAGACTTCTTCATCCCAATTGTGAAATCTCTTCCCATATTTGTTTGTGAGACTTGGTCCCTTCAATTGAAACTCTGATGGATTTAATTTTGGCTTCTTTAAAATTCTCTTGTAAAATATGTGAGATGTGAGATTTGACTTGTGACCTTGGGTTTAATTTTTCAAGCTTCTACCATTCCATCTATATAACCATTTAGTTATTATTCCATTCCATTTGATGTACTCCTTTCTTTCCATAGATGCTTGATCTCCAAGATAGCTTCATGCAACGTCCAAGTCAGGTTCTTCTTATTTGGGAATTCTTCTGGATCACTTCTGGGAATTCTTGAGAGGTTTCTTCTCAGATGAAAGTCTTCATATGCATACATTTTCATATGCATACATCTTCCTCTTCTGTTTGCCATTCACCAGGCAAATTCTTGATTTTAGGCTTGATATCTTCTTCTTCCATTTTACGCATATCTTCTTCGGTTTTTCTCTTCTAGTGGATAATTTTCCCTTTCTTGGTCTATGACTCGTCTAGTTTAACCAAAACAAAATTGGGGTTCTACGATTTACAATTTGGCATATCAAAATCTATTACAATTTATTCCTAACAATTTCCCCCCTTTTGATAATGTCAAAACCTATACTCATTCATTGGCTTTAAGTCATGTAAAATAATTTCAATTTTTTTGCTCAATTTTTTTTTTGACAAAGACAAGAAGAGTTTGACAAAATATTCTAGGGAAAACTTTGTGAATTAATTTTTAGACAAGTCGTATACGAATAATTTATTTATTTTTGAATGAATTTTAATTTTGCTATGCGTTTAACAATTTTTGTCTTTTAATTCACGAACTAAAACAAGATACCAAATTAAATCAAACAGATTAAAAATAGACCAAGGGAAATTATTATTTAGATAATTCAGATAGAGAAAATTTATATCATAGCCAAAATCCGAAAATAGTGATATTCCAAGCATCAGATTTTCGAAGAGTCTTTATCAGGTTACCTTCTGAGTTTCTTGACTCCCATGTCTGCTTTCAATAAATCCTTGATGTGTTCTCTCAACGTGTAAATATCATATTTGAATTTCTCACATTCAAATCTCTTTGTCACTTGTCCAGCCATGTAGTATCCAAAGGCTTCTTTAATGTTGGTTCTCGGAAGAACTCCAGCTTCCCACCAAACTATACATTCATCAAAGCTTCTTTGGAATCCCAAACTTTCACCATTACTGTTGGTGTGATCTCTAAGCTCGTACCACATCTCGGTTCGCTTCTTTTTTGCTTCTTCTTCATTGTTTTTGTCCGAGATCCATTGGGCTTGATCAGCTACTAGCCATTTCTTAATCATGCTTGGTATATTATCTTTGGTCCATATTGTTTGCTGAGTGGCGGGTCCTTTTGAACATTCAAACCAACCACGAGTTTCAGCAACTTTCGATGAACTTGTACCAAGACTAGGACTTGCAAACTGAGTGAAACCAACTTGGGATGATTGACCACGACCTCGACCTCGGCCTCGTGTTGGTGCGGTCGAAACTGGTTGTTGTTGTTATTGACTTCCAAGGATAAACTCCAGTTGTTGTAAAGCAGATGATTGAGAATTTCTTCCCCCATTTTGGCATTATAAACCAAAAAGTCAAGGGTTTTGGAACCTCGTTCCTGATTGGCTTTTACAAGTTCAACACCATCATGGGTTTTGAGAGAGACATCCTGTAAAACTGAAATTTTATTAGCCATAGAGGATAGTTCCAACTCAAGGTGATTTATCTTGCTCTCCTGATCTTGTATGGCCTTTATTTGTCTCAAGTGTCTTTCATTGTGGATCTTCTCGGCTGCTTCTCGCTCCTTTTTCATGAGTTGGATTACCTTCAATAATCCTTGAGTAAGATCTCCTTTCATATGTCGTTCAGCTCTGTCAATTCTTGTATGCAAAGTGTTTTTTTTTTTTTTTTTTTAATAATAAAACCATACTTTATTAATAAAAGAAAGGCCGAAGCCAAAACAAAGTCCAAAGGATTAGGCCACACACGGCCAAATCCCACTAACTAAAACTAAACTAGAAAGATAAAACGATATTACAAGTGAAGGCCCCCGGGGCTATAACATGCATGCCCTACGTCCCATGCTAGATATAGCTAACACTCGACCATAGACTAGGATAAAACAATAAATAAGCTACTAAGTAAAGTAGACTATGCAGCTGCTCAAAATGTAATGCAAGTGTAGCCCAACTGCATCACGGTCCACCATATATGCGTGAAGATAGATGGCAAGGGGAACAGTCACCTTGCCTGTCACGAGCCATAACACCTCCCTGCCAGCTGCACCATAGCGTCACAGCACTATAATGCAATCCAACCGAACTGCAACCACAGCCGCAACATCTCCTGAGATGCTATTGACTGCCCTGTTAAAAACAATAATACACACTCCCAACTAAATATGGTAAAGGCCTAACAATACTCAGAAATATCGGCACACACGCCTAAGTTAAAAGATACATAAATAATACAGGAAGGTCACATGCAAAAATTTCAGTACTCTGACCGATGCAATCAAGGCAGCCAATAGCATCAAAACCCCGATCAGCACCAGCACGAACCAGAACCAACCCTAACGGGATTAGCTACTATGGGCCAGCAGCAAGCCTGGACTACTGCCAACGGATTTGAAAAACCCCTACCCGGCCACCGTTCAGCCCGGGCCAGGATGCAATTTCTTACCGTTTGCACCAACGTTGAGGCCTGGTCTATCTTGAAAGATTCCTGAAAAGGCGGAACCAAAAGAAGCCTATAGACCAGTCAATGCCTCGGAGGCCAAAGAAACAAAACCAGCAAAAATAGGAAACAAGATAGAAACAAACAAGCATCCTGCTCCCTTGACCCCAGCTACTTCAAAACAATTCTACGTAAAGGTGAGTGTATAAGGTATTAACAGGCTGACGCGAACAAACAGCATCCCCCAGAAATAATGGCCCGTCCCCCCGGAGTCCAAAAGGGTTTCAGCTACTATTGGCCAGCAGCAAGCCTGACCAGGTCAACGGATTTGACTAGTCCTGCCTGGTGCACCGTTCAGCCCGAACTAGGGTGCCATGTTGTACCGCCAACACCTTACGTTGAGACTCAGTCCTGACAAACAAGACTTCATGGCCTCCAAGAACACCTCACACACTCTCTGTTTTTAGCTCACCTCAACTCTTTCTTTTCCTGCCAATTCCCTCATTTTACCACTCTTTCTTTCTTTCTCTCATATTGTTTCCCCTCAATTCTTTTCATTCCTCTTTTTCTCTTTTTCTCTCTTTTTCTCTTTTTTCATTTTCATTTTCATTTTCTTTTTACCCAGCATAAAAAATAAACAGCAATCGTACAGGCATAAAACTATAAATGAAATGCGGGTCGCAAAATACAGGCACGCAGGCCCCCAAGTAAGATAAAAGCATAATCAGGGTGGGTCTTCTTCGTCAAGAAGACAAAAGGCACATCGTCATCAACAATGAGAACGCGCACCCTGGATGGAAGCTCAGCTAAACATGTGAAACGAGTCTCTCCTGGTTCGGCAACAGCCCAATCAGCTAGGGCCTGTGCCGGCAGGTTAGCCCTTGATGGGCACAAACTGGCAGAGACAGACCCAGATGAACACAGGAAACGGAGGCGGGATACAACCTCATCTAACACCCACGGCGGCCGGCTCGAGGCATCAAGATAACGTCCCAGGTCCTGTATCGTGGATTCCATAATAATCTCCACATATCCTCCAGCCAGGCACCACTGTAGACAGGAGAACAAAACCCGAAATAAACCTTGGGTATGCTCCCCTCGCCCAGACCACGCCACCCCATAGCAGAGTCCGCCGATTGAGTTGCGCACCAAGGCTGCGGCCCCCTCTCCAGCTTCTGAAAGATATACATTAATCTTAAGAGCTCTAGCTGCTGGTGGGGTCCACCTGACCGCCCTAACCAATCGTCTCGGCACATGTACCTCCAGATATGCAACTATCGTCCTCCAGCTCGGGGGCAGGATATGCCAACGCCTGAACAGGCATTCCGCAACCCCTCTAGCCACCCCGAACATAACTCGCGCAACACTCGGGGCACCCCGATCATGCATACAGCCGTTGCGGTGCTTCCATAGCTCCCACATCACCAAGCATGGCAACTTGCTAACAACAAAAGAAAATAAAGGGTTACGCGCCCCTCCCCGGCCCCAGCCAGCCACTAACGTCCTAAGACGCCGGTGCCGTGACTGCAAGCCTAGGGACGCCAATATATAACTCCAAACAGTTTTTGCTGTTTCCCCATCATAAAAAAGATGTGCAATGGTCTCAATAGACGGGTCTGGGCAACACCTACATCTTGACACGAGCACATGCCCGAAACGAGATAAGGCATCATCCGTGGGTATCCGCCCTCGGAGCACTCTCCAAGCCAAGAAGGATACCTTAAAAGGAAGGTGCTTACGCCAACACTTAGCGAGAAGTGGGTCCGGTGCAATGGGCAAAACAGGCCTTAGGTAAGCCTTAGATGAGGCATAAGAAAACATACCGTCTGATGCGGCTGTCCAGAGAGGAATATCCCTCGGGCCTTGGCTCATTCTGGACAAATCAATGGCAACCCCTGCATATATAAGCTCCTCATGACCAGTCAAATCAAGTACACAATCATGTATGTAATCCAGGAGCATCTCCCGAGAGTAAGAAACCCTCGGGAACGGAAACATGTTTCCGAGTGGCCCCAAACCTGACCAGTTATCCCACCAGAAATTAACCCGGCCCTGGAACACGTGCCACATGAGAACCCGCTCCACCTCATCACGAACTGCTAGCATTCGCTTCCATGTGTGCGAATCCGAATACCGGGCCACCATGGCGACCGGATGGACCCGCCTACAATACTTGGCTCTCATAAAATCTGACCACAAAGTGTGGTCAATGCGAAAGTTCCACCACAGCTTCACACTGGCTGCTCGCACCATTAAGTCTAAGTCTAGGAAACCAACTCCCCCTTCCTTCTTAGGCAAGGAGAGCGTCTTCCACGAACTCCAATGGTACTGGGCCCCACCCAATTGCTTCCAGAAGAAGCTATTAAAACACCGTTCTATATCCCGAACGACTTCCTTGGGAGGCGCACAGGCTGCAAACAAGTGTAGCGGGGTAGCCTGTAACACTAACGATATCAAGGTAGCCTTCCCCCCTTTGGACAAAAGTCGTCGTTGCCAACTCAAACACTTAGCTTTGACTTTATCGATCGTCTTGGCAAAGTAGATGCATTTTTTCCACCTTGTGTACACCGGGCACCCAAGATAGGTAAATGGGAACTCATTATGCACGCACCCGGTTTCCCTGCGAACACTGTCCACTACCCGGTGCAGGGTATGTGGGTGCATATAGTATGCAAAGTGTTTTGATACTCCAAAAGCTCCTTTAGATTGGTTCGTGTGTCCTCATAATGTTGCAAAGATAGATGTCCTTGCTCGGTTAAAGTGTTTCCAATCTTTTGACACACTACATCACTTGTTTCAGTAACTTTTGCAAACAATGATGTCAACAGATCATCTTCATCTACTTCACGGCTTCGGGTTGCACTTAGATTCAAAGAGTGCAAAGATTTGAATAAATTTCTTCGAGAATCAGTAAGAACTGGGTTTTCAACAAGCTGTATGTTTCCGTCTGGTGAATCGACTTCAAGATGTTGATTTCTAGTTTCTCCTTCTTCGATGGTCTTTGTTCTTGTGATGACATCTGTATTTAAATTCACTTCTTCCAGAGAGATATTCTGATGTGACATCACAGGGTCATTATCATGTACTTACACTTAACACAAACATTCCCCCCAATTGATGGTCTAATTTCACCATCAACTTGGTCCCTTACTTCATCCCTTACTGAAGCCATAATAGGATCCATTCTTTGCTCCTTTTCATTATGAGCATTTATGTCAACATTGGTGGGGGTCACATTTGATATCAAAAGTTCAGCACTATGAACTCTGACATTGACAGACACAGTGTTCAGTAGCAAAAATTGGCACATCAACAAGTGTATTTCCTTCATTTGCCCTTTCACCCAAATTGTTGAGAAAATCATTAGCTATATTAAAGGAGGTATCACCTGGTTGTCGATGAGTGTCAGCAAAGGATTTATGTAGGGCAATCTGTAGACTCACTTCATTTTGTCTTTCCAAATCATCAGTAAGAATTTGAGTGACATGTTCTTGTGCTGCTGCGGCAACTCGTTTTCCTTTATCATTATTTTCTTGAAGCTTCAGTATATAAACTTGATTTGTATCCATGTTTAGTGCTTCAAAGCATTGAGTCAGTTCCAAGCCACTCAAATGCAAATTCCTCACTACGTATCAACTCGGAGTTGACTTTTGAGATAAATGAATGGTATCTTTCAAGTCTTCATTCTTTCCATGCTTGCACTCGGTTTAATTCTTCCATCAATTCAGGATCATCTTGGATTTGTGCTGAGACAAATACCACGGGTTCAGTACTTACTTCAGCTGTAGATTGACTCGAAATTCTCCTTCGCAAGTCATTGGAAACTTGCACTTCTACTTCTGCAAACTCCATTCGTATTGTGTCTTCTTCGGCATGTGCAGCTGGCATCACGGGTCTGTTGACTTCATGAGCTTCAGATTCCAACTCTTCTTGGAATGGGACGAGTGCCATAGCTGAGCTTATATGTAACACCCCTAAATTTTAAAATATTTAAAACTTATAAAATAAAGGCAAATCTATTGATAAAATCCCAAACAGAGCATAAACGAAACATATTAGTCGGGGTGCTATGCCACATCTAAGCTGGAGAACTTAGATGCACAGGCTGTACTAACTAACTAAACATAAATCCATGACTAAGTACAAATTAAGGCACGCAGGCCAGCTAACTGAATCTAAGACTATCTAGACCAGGTCCGGGGAATCTGACAAGCGCACTCCAAGCTATTAAACTGCACCTGAAAAACATGCGGTGTAACAACCGCCAGCGAATAATGCTGGTAACCCACTCCAACGCGTTAAGTACAATATAGGTAGATATAAGAAAATCATTTTGAAACTGGAATACATATATACTTACAAGACTCTAATTTAAATCCAAGATCAAGACTCAAGGCACCATAACAAACTCGACATTATAGAATAATCATAAAGACTAACATGCGTCCTAAGAACACGTTGCAAGACATAACTGAGAGATAGGCGTATAAACAGCAAATAGAGGCAACGAAGATATTCAAGGCAATCAGTTAGCAAGTAATCAACAAAGCACACAATCCATCTTCCAACCTTATACCAAGTTCCAACCTTGTAGCTCCCATCCTTCCTTATATCAGTTCCAACCTATACTTCCAGGCCACCCTTATATCGCCTCCCTTATTCCTACGGGCAACTACATGCCCCCACCGACAAACCACCTTTCAACCACCAACATATAAGATAGCGCCGCAGTGCTATTCGCATGATTCGCACCTCTAGTGCCAATATCAAGGGGTCAGCGCATATAGCCCTGACATGACACCGCATCACTTATAACCTGACCCATGATCAACGGCAAGCTAGTCAAAGGTGGGTTTGTGCCTTTAGTATAGTAACTGCTACGCCAGTACCTTTAGTACAATGACCGGGCACAAGTGGTGCCAACCGCCAACAATTCAATTACACCAATCACAATCTCATCATCATCATCATCATCAATCACACCAACCACTGTGCAATGACGACGATACTCATCACCATTCAATCAATCAACACATAATCAATCAATTAACAATCAAGACACAACACAACAACGAATAAATCCTATGCAAGGGCTCTATCAAGACTCAATCATAGAATTACACATACGATTATGAAAGGAGCTAATAAATAAGATATAGCAAGGAAAATAGGTTTTGTTGAGACATGGGTTACCTCTTAGCCTTAATTAATCCTCCCATGGATATTAAGGTTCTTCTCTAAGATTTCCTTCCGATTGATCTCCCTAGGTTTGGTTGTGGGGAATCTCCCAGGGAAGAATTTCGTGTAATACAACTATGGGTGGTAAGGGTTCTAATTGCTTTCTAATCCCCTATTTATAGAGTTGGGAATTCTAATCAGAGTTTGAATAGTAAAGACCTATGTTCTACTCCTAACAGGATTATAGGCCTAGGATTCCTAATTAGAATTCGACTGGTAAAAAGGTCTACTCTCTTTATTCCTGATAGGCTTACGATTCCAGTTTAGGCAATGGTCCACGATCCATGGTGGACCAAATTAATTAATTAAAGGGGATCCTAATCAAATTAAATCCTTTCTAATCATTATTAACGGAATTAATTAAAAAATTAATCCAGGATTCAAGGCCGTAACACGGGGTGTTACATTATAGCTTCCTGATCTCTATTGCATGGATTGCTAGAGCCCATATGTGCACTTGCTGCAGATATGGTCCTACCGTTTCTTCTTCGGGAGCTTTATGGTGTGCTAGTGGAACCACCTCCTTCAGATCCTTTCCTTTGGTTTTATTTCTTTCCATAGTTGGGTCCATACATTCTGAAAAGTGTTCTGTAAATTTCGACACTTTTATGTGTTCTAAGAGGCACAGATTTCTTCCTTAGAATTTCTCCAATAATAAGACCATACCCAACTTTCTGAAGAAAGTGTTCTCCTTCAAGTGGTCTTCCATGAGGTTTCGCACCGTACACAAAGACCAACAGTCGACTGACGATGTACTTAGCCCAGTTGAATTTTATTCCTTGCATAATTCCATTCATCAGACCTACGGATGGTGCAGACAGATCATCCAAATTTCCAAGCTTGTTACCAAGGATTTTATAGATCATATCAATAACCATCTCAAATTCAGGTTTTAACACGTTATTGTGCTCGGTCAGACAATGAACTGCAGGAGCGTTTGGACCACGACTTTCACCCCAAAAAGATTGAACATCATAGTGGTGTGCTTCGGGCATTAACTCAGAATCGGGAAATTTGAAGCACTCCTTGATATCTTTTTCACAGATTTGAACATCCGTTCTTCCAACCTTAGAGTGAATCACATTATCTTTCACGGTGGCATGAAGATAAAACTCAGTCACATCTACTTCAAAGGCTCCAAGGTATGTATGTGTGAATAAATCATATAGTCCATAATCCTTCAGAGCATTGAGAATTTTCATTGCCGTCACCTTGTTGACCGCTCCAATCTTGAAAAACTCAGGATTATGTGTCATCTCATCGATCAGTTGTTGTCTTAGAACAAGTAGATTTTTGGGTTGCATGGCTTTGGTTCCAGACAAGGTGTTCGCTGGTAGGATTGAGAGATTGAGAGAGATAGATTTTTGATTTTGTTGAACTAGGGTTTTTTTAGTCTGAGAGGAATACGAAGGGTTTCGTAGGGTTTAAGAAGGATTTAAGTTGAGATACGTCTCTCAGAAGAATTCTCAATTGAGACCCTTAGAATAGGTGTGATGACTAGGTACATTTAGGGGTGGAGGTGTCTTTTAGTTAAGGTGTTACAAGGAAAGAGAAAAAAAAGGGGGTTATCATTAGTAGACAAGAGCATTAAATGCTCACAGTCTCTTAGGTACCCTATATGCATAAGGTGTATAGAGTAAGAAGATTATGAAAGGACAACTCTAATTATTCTTGAAGATTTGAGAGAGGTAAAATTTGGGGTGTAGATTATGAGAGATGATTTTTGAAGATTTGGGTAGAGATTTTGAGAGACAATTATGATTTTCGAGAGAGAGGTAGAGAAAGGGGATCAGATTTTGTGGAGTGGGAAACGATTTTATTGGAATTGATTGATTATGGGTAGAAGTTTAAGGGGTGAGGGTATCAATTATGGTAGGGATTAATGGGAATCAGTTTTGAGAGATGGAGAGTTTTAATGGGAGATGGTTTAAGTTGGTGGGTAGAGGTTTGAGTGGGAGGAGGTTTTACTTCAAGAATCCAATCTGATCTTCTTCTTTTCCTTCTAACAAACGTAC